ACACAGATAAAGATGGTGTTCATTGTGTGTGTGTGTGTGTGTGTGTGTGAAATTAAAACAAAGTTTGTTTTGTCCTTTAAAGCTGAGTTTCTTTGTTACAAGCAACATAAAATTGAAAAATAGAAAGAGAGAAATTCTGCTGGAACATCTGTTCATCACATTTAATCATTTAATCTTTGATGTTTCAAGTCTAAGAAAACCTACAACAGTCAGCTTATAGATATTTTTCCTTGAAACAAACCACAAACTGAGCCGACGTGTGGAAGTTAGAAAAACATCATGTCTCAGATCACAAACAGCACAAAATGGAAAATAAAATGCATCTATAAACGGAGGAACAAGCTGTTATATGCTGGAAGTTTACATTTGATTTCTATTAAAAAAAACCTTGAGGTGTTCTGTAAAATATTTCTACTACAGTTATATACTTTGTTATATTTATTAAAATATAGTAATTTTAATCAAATTAGCAGGAAAAACTAGTTGTTGAAGTTGGTAATTAGAGTCCACCTGCATTTAAAGACCAAATAAAAAAATAATGTTTATTAAAAGGTCCTGACTTCTTTGAGTTTTTGTAATTTTTTCCAAGTTCTCTTTTAGTAAAATTGGTTATTTTTTTCACTAAACACAACAGCACAGTGATGTCACAGCTTTTCAAAGCAGATAATTTAACTAGTTGGCTCATTATGACACTAAAATTGTAATTTATCAGATCCAACTCAGGTTACAGTCAGTGATCTGACATGATGTGATGATTATAAATGACACTCAAACAGCTGAAAGTCCACAAACATCTCAGCTTTTCTGCAGCCTTAATAATTAACCAGCCTGAACTTTTATCATCAGCTACCTTAAAATGTAGCCAATACCTGTGTGTTTAATTGTTGGCAAAATGTCTCATGAACCCCTGGACAGCTGATTAATGTTTGGACTCTGGATTTAAGATGGCTGCTATACAACCTTACAACAGAAAAAAAAATTTTCCTCACATAAATTAGGTTTGGTATTAGCTCTGAGCACTATCAGATCTTCATAAATATGCATCCTTTAAAATAAAAATGTATACCTTTCTTATTTTAAATTTGTGATTTTGTTTAGACCCTGCCAATAAACGGACTCAGCTGCTCTGAACTGAGGGTCAGTGTTTTTATGGTTTTATCTTTTTACACATTGATGATAAGAAATGAGTTTGATGCATTTAGTTCGACATAAAACTGCAGGTTATTCAAACAGCATGAGACCACAGCACGTGCACACGTCACAATATCTACGCTGACACCGTGCAGTCCTGTTCGACCTGACAGAACCTCTCAAACCTGCAGGTCTCATGAGACTGCACCGGCTTTTTTTCAACCCAGTTTTCAGCCTCCATCTTTTTCAGCTGATGGCACAATCAGAGCCGAACACTGTCCAGAAGCAGGAATCATCACCCCTCTAACTTGACTCTTCACCTCCACAGCACCCTTCACCCCCCCTCAGACCCAGACGTGAAAGCTGCCCCCCCAGTCCAGCAGCCTCCCTCTGTACCAGGCCCGCCGAATCGGCTGAATGAAAAGCAAGAGGCGAAACCTCCGGAGCAGCCCACAGAAGACGGCCGCCGCCACCACCACGAGGGGCGACATCATCACGAAGCCCAGGATGATGAGGGRGGAGGAGCTGTTGTCATCAAGGTAGCGGCAGATGGCGGAGGGGGCGTCGAGGACCTGCGGGGTGGGGGGCACAGAGGGGTGCGTTAGAGAAGTTTAATCTGTGGAGTCAGAGTGTAGAAGCCGAAGGAAGAGACACAAAAGAAAGCTGCAAAGTTTGTAACAATTAGTCATATTTTATTTATAAACTTTGATGTTTTTATCAAGATCTAAAGGATAACATCCTTCAGATAGTGATAAGAAAAACTGCCAGATTCTGTGAATTTCTTTCATCTTTGTGGTTGATTTCCAGATGTAAACTGAGAGCTGTCTGCCACACCTGATCACCTGAGCCYCAGATTCTGAAGCCTCATCAGTCGAGTTTAATCATACAGTCATGCAGATTTTGAGTCTTGATTTTTTGTTTGTTTGTTTTTAGCCTCAGGAAATTCAGTCACAGAAGTTTAGTGATTCTTTGCTTCCAATTGAGCTTAGCGACAGATTTATCTCCCTCTAATGATATGAGCCTACTCGCCTGAACTCCACAGAAGCTGATTCCTCCTCTTTAATGATTTGTGAGCACATTTCTGCAGTTGTGTGCAAATATTTGGGCAGTTCAGGGTGAAAACATGTCAGTCAGCAGCAGCATTTGATCAATATGTGATCCATGATGTGATGTAAATGTAACATTTTCTACATATAGTTAAAAATTAATCACTGCAATAAAATAACTTTGTCTGTTTTTGTCACTTTTGCAGTGGATTGCATCAACTCTGTTACATTACAGAAGGGAAACTTCACCGAAGTGAAACGTAAATCTGTAGATCTGTGTTTGATTAGTCTGGCTGGCTTTTTCAAGGACCAGGATGTGACACAAAAATCTGAATTTTAGAACTGAAAGTGAAAGTAGTCAAACTGAATTTTTAATAAATCAAAATACAGTTTCAAAGCAAATTCATTCAAATTCAAAACTTTAAATTCWGTTTCAAACCATTAAATTCAGTCTCAATTTAGTGAAATTCGTTTTCAAACCAARYCATTCAYTTTCAAATTATGCACATTCAGATTCAATCTGAGCAYTTCAAATTCGATTCCTGCTGGCACAAATCTTGTCAGAATTAAGCTAAAAATAATTGAACTATTCCTTTACTTTAACAAAACTTTACTTTTGCTGCACTCATGTCTCCATCTGATCAATTCCATCCAGTTTGGTCCCATCCTGCACCCCCCAGAGTGAACCTCAAGGTTTGYTATTTCATATTTTAATCTGTCATGTACAATTTCTGCATATAAATTTTTATTTTACTCATCTAAATATCTTTATTCTCTCAGTTTCGGACATTGAAAAGCTTTGAACTGATTTCCAAATTCATTTTTTGTTTCCCCACAAACATCTTTAAAACCCCCCAGCACCACAAAACCAACACAAAAAAAAAAAGGCAGTTCTCATTTTCCACAAACCACTGAGCAGATAATGACTGTGGACATCCTGCTGCGATCAGATCTGAGAAGGTGCAGCTTCCTGAGAAGATGGAGAAATTATGTTTCTCTGTAGTTTTGTTCAGGTTGGGATAAGAGTAAATTGTGGTGAAATCCCGGGAGCGAGGAGGGGTTGAAGGAGGTTGGATGGGTGGAAGAACGCGTCTGTGTCATGTTTATCTCTGTCAGGGTGCAGGCGGGACGCGGGGAGCTTTTTATCCCCGCAGTTTATCAGGAACAAAAAGCTCTGTTCAGTCATGACAACAATCACAGGCGTCATCCAATATCTGCTTCGTGGCTTCATCTGTTTTTATTGCTTTCATTTCTGTCTAATTTATGAGGGATGAGTGGGAGACACAGGCTGGACCTTTTTATCCTCTTCAGTTATAAATAATTCTGCACCAGTATCTTTAAAAGTCCACTTTTTCTAGTATTTTTGCCTGTCTCTGAGCAAGAACAAGTAAAAAAAAACATAAAACAGTAGGGATCAAGAAAGTAGTTATGTGTGAGCGATCTAAAATATTTACAGCTGCTTAATTAAATACTAATTTATGAGCAGAAAACAAATATGGAGCTACGGCATAGCAATAAATGTCCTTGTATTTAATTATTGCAGCAGACTGAAAGAGAGCAGGAGAAATTAAACATTGCACTTTCCTCGAAGGAGTTTTAAAATAAATAATTTCTTATTAAGAAAAAATCATAAAGTTGCAGCTGTTCTGTTGAGATTATTAATTATTAAAAACTGAGAGAAGTTTTGTTGTTAAGTTTAAATAAAGTTTCAGCTGTTTTACAAAAACAAACTTCATCATGGTTCACAGAATCCCATCCATCCATCCATCCATCCATCCATCCATCCGTCCATCCATCCGTCCATTCATCCATCCATCCATCCATCC